AGAGAGAGAGAGAGAGAGAGAGAGAGAGAGAGAGAGAGAGAGAGAGAGAGTGGGGAAAGGAGAGGGCAGAAAACTGCCAGCACCCTCTTCGTAGAGAGAGAGGGAAAAAAGGAGAGGGCACAAAACGCCCAGCACCCTCCCCCCTTTGCAGTGAAGGATATTTTTTGGGCGTTTTTATGAATTTAACGTTTAAGAAGTAGAATTGCGACAATAAGATACCGCCCCCCCTGATTTTATTGGAGAAAAGACAAACCTTATCCAAATCGCCTGCTACCCTAGTGATTTTTGTTCTATGACTATAAAAATTTTTCCCAACTAATTTTTTTTTTTTTTTTTTTTTTTTTTTTTTTGACTTATACCTAACTATAATTGAGGGTCCCAATTTAATTATTAATTTTTTTTTTTTTTACTTCCTGACAAGGTTACATCGCAATGGAACTTGGGACTCGGCTACAGAAATCCAACCTCTACCATCTTGACCCAAGCCAGACACCTAGGTAAGTTACACCAGTCCCAAGCTTGGAAAAGGAAAATGCAGGCTTGTGTAAAGTAGGTTTGTCAAATCTTATCGTGAATTTTTAGCCTAAAAATAGTATATCAGGATTCATGTAATGACCCTAGATAGTTGAAATAAGATTCAGATAATGATACCTATCTAAACATTTTGAAATAAAATTCAACAAAATTGTTCTTTAGGATCAAAACCAATTAGCATGCAGGTTTAGGTCCGGTCATATTAGACCAATTAGGTCTAGTCAAAATTTGCTATTGACCCTAATCGATAGGACTTTGAAATTAAAAAGAAATAAAAATATTTTAAAAATATAAAATATAATATAAAAGAATTGTCCAATTTTGTTAACATGTCCATTAGCTCAAAACTAAATAGCATCACTAGCCAAAACCCTAAATTTGATAAAATATTAGTAATTCACTTCACTAAATTTCATTTTTGCATTGGATTAGACTAGTCAATGCATTAATTATTGCTCTAATCGATCACATTGTCCGTCGCATCTGGTTTCAAAACTTAATAATAATGGTAGTTCTCGCTAGATTTAAATAACCTCATTTGGAAAATACTTTACGCATGGGAAATTTCTTTGATGTCTCTAAAATCAATTTCCTCTACTAATTATGAAATTTGTAGTTCAAAAAATGGACGATCTAAATAATGTGTTACAATCAACACTATTTTGACGGTTTGAAATTCTTCTCTTTTTTTTCTACAACTATTATAGTCAAGTTAAATGATTGATTTGAAGGTTTTTTGACACTAATATTGCAATTTTTCATGAGTGCGGAGATGAAGCTTTACTTATTTTGATAGGTTGCAGTCCTATCAAAACAGTTGCCTTTATAATCAAAATGATATGTATGGTGGCAATTTACGTCTGAAATTTCCTTTCAGAAAGCAAGCCAAGTTCAAGGTTCCCATAAAATCGCCTTTGAATATTTTAAAATGTCTTGTATGTGTGTCTTCACAATTCTCACTAGTCAAAACTACAAAATTGGCCCATAAGTTTAGATCATTTTTTGAAATTTGTAAAGGTTCTTTAATATTTTCACACATTGGAACCGGTCGATCCTAAAAGAAGGTGAAGAACATGAACCGGCAGCATCCATGTCCCCCCCATTGAAATCATAAGTCTAGATGTTCAGCTTCTCAAGCTGATACTTCCAAGAAACAAACATACCATTCGAAGATTAACGAACCCTAATTTCAGCATTTCTTTTTTCTATGCCTCTAATCATCATAATTTTGTAATTTCCAAGGATTGAGTGTTGAAATGTAGGTGAAACAGGGCAATAAAAGGAGAATTATCAAACTTTTTCTTGTAGTTCAAGGAGAGAAATTTCCTATTTCCTGGCACGAATAGATCACTATCACATGACAATACTTTCCTTTAACTGATATAAATCAATCTGCATCTAAATTGCTACGCAAATTTTTCCTAAGCATACAAGAAAATAGAAGATGACTCAACTATCTTCCCAACACAAATGCACAAGTATTATATGATCCAAAGTGCCATAGTTGCCTCTTTTCTAGAAAGAAAAAATTGGTAATGGTTTTAAAACAGTAGTGACTTTTTATACAAAGGAAGAAAAGGAGTCTTATTTATAGATAGAGGACAAGTCTTTTTACCTTCATCTAATCGAATTGTTCAATGCTTGTTAATGAAGAGTTGCGACTCTTTGATCCTTAATTACAATCATAAAAAAGGATTCAGCAATTGCAATCGACATGGAATCGAATACCCACCAGTCATAAGGTTCCAGGGTGGCTCTTTGGGTTCCAAAAAAACTACCACCACACTTAATACAATGTGTTACAATCTTCAGCAGTAGAAGTTGGGGCATGCTTGCAATATTCAAAATCTTTCTCCATTAGATTTACAGCGCTACTAAATAGTGTTGTGGGCCCAACAGTGAGGCTAGTGGTGGGCAAAAACTTATCGAGACTACACCTCATCCCATCGTTGGAATTACCTGTAATGGTGTAAAGTAAGCAAGGCTTGAGCCCGAGCCACACATGTGTGCGCTAGTTCGTCTCAAGCACCCTTGCGCCCATACACATATGTACCGCACTTTTCTCATGATCCACATAGGCATTTTCCTTCATTGGTCCTTAGAGTATAAGTGAAGAGGATATTGCAATTATTTTAAGCATGAATTTTCTTATTTCATCCTTCAATATGTGATAACTAATTCACTGCTTCTTTATCTACAAATAAGACCAAATACACTTTTCAAAATACTATAATTCAAAAGGGAATATTTTGAAATAAAAGGTAGCATTTTTTCATGAAAAAATATAACTCCTCTACCTTTTACAAAATAGTATGAAAGCATTAGAAGAATATAAGTTATTCGCATTGCCATAAAGATATTTTTCTATTTGAACCTTTACTCAATGTATGCACTACAATGTACATCAAACTCCATGATAGGATATAGCTTTGAATCAAGTATATTATCTATTATGCTGGTAGCACAACACACAAATCACAATAAAAAATCTGGTGCATTTTTTTATGTCAGCTTATTATCCGCCTTGAGCATATATCTTAATTTTACAAGTACTCTAAAGACAAGTGTAATCTCATAGGAAGCCGCTTCACTTCCATACTCATCTAGGTGAATCTATCAAGGGTGTCTTTCTATATAAAATATGCCAACAAATACTAGTACTAGACGTCATTAAGAGTATAATTCAGCCTCCCCTCATATAGATCATCACTAAATTTATCAATCGTATGAATCTTAGGAGAATGGGTTCTTATAAATTATGTCATCTAATTAACCATATGTATAGCTTGTTATTACCACATTGAATCTAGACCTTTTGAGGTAACAAAGGACTAGATTGGGTTCATGCCATTAACAATTACTATATGGACTCTAATCCCATTCTATTGACATATTACTAATACCTTCCAGTTGTATGGCTTTTTATGAAAGGCTAGGCCAAATTTTCCTTCAGTTTTACAAATGCTAGAGTTACCACTCCATCTCTTATCAATATTTGGATGGAGTTATTTGGTGTACAATATGTTTAGATTTGTCATTATAAATATCACTACTTGCTTGAGCAAGCCACGATTATCACATTCAATTATGATTGTCGGTATTGGGTTGGGTCAAATTGGGATATCATGAAGCAAGTTTATTTGCCATTTCACTTCTTCATAAGCAAATTCCAATATGATAAACTCGAACTCCAAAAAGAAATGCATGCTCGCTTCTTTGATCTCTATGATAATTCTCCACCTCTCAAGGTGAAAACTCATACAAAAGCAGATGGTGAATCTTTTAGTTCCATGCTCCAACTTGTATTATCGTGTCCTTCTAATACTATGGGATAACCAATAAAGTGTATGCTAAATGAGAGTTCCTTTGAGATACCTCTGAACTCGAGGATTTCATCTGAATACTCTCTACTTAGGCAACTAGTAAATCTACTAAGTTTATCTACCGCATATAAAATATTCGATATTGGTTTGAGTCAAATTGGGATATCATGAAGCAAGTCTATTAGCCATTTCACTTCTTCTTAAGCAAAATCTAATACGATAAACTCTAACTCCATAAAAAAATGCATGGTTTCTTCTTTGATCTCTATGATAATGCTTTACCTCTCAAGGTGAAAACTCACACAAATGCGGATGGTGAATCTTCTAGTTCTAACCTCCAACTTAGTATCATCATATCCTTCTAATACTATGGGATAATCAATAAAGTGTATACTAAATGATAGTTCCTTTGAGATACCTCTAAACTTGAGAGATTGCATCTCAATACTCTCTACTTGGGCAACTAGTAAATTTACTAAGTTTATCATATAAAAAAACTGACAATATTTAAAAAATAAATGTTCAGAAGTGGGATTCGAACCCAGAGCACACTAAGGTTTTCGTGCCTCTACTGACCACAAAGTCCTTCAAACATGAATTAGTTACGTTTGTCGAATTAACATACATGAAGTTTACCAACATGTTGTACAGTTTGCTTGCCCAAAACTCGCCTCGCCTATATGGCGAGGCCGAGTTACTCGGTCGAATCCCAGTGGCCTCGGTCAAGTTTTAGAAAACTGACAGTAGTATTGTTAAGCCCCATAATAAGATGTCTAACTCCATTCTCACTAAAGGGTAGGCACCCAAATCTCCGCTGACTTACCACTTTTACTCACCCAAAAAATTCCACAAATACATCTCCCTTTATTTTTCATTAACTTTGTATGAGGATATGTTGGGCGTGTTTACTGGCGTACAATCACTATGCTTAAAATTATTGAGGACTTTTTCGATGTACCGAGGTTAGGTTAAAACTAAAGCATCATCTTTACTCACTATATTGATAACAAGTATTATTCAACCATTCCTAGATCCTTCAGATCAAAATTAAATCCAATAAACCTTTTAGTTTCCTCTACTATTTCTAAGTTAGAGCCAAATATAAACATATAATCAACATAAAAACATATTATGACATACATCGAGTTAATTTCCTTATTAGAAACACTTGTCTACTTTATTTCTCTTAAAATTATTCGTTGATATTGCATTATCAAATAAAAATTTTCAATCAAAACCTTGGTTAAATTAGTTCGAATCCTTGAATGTGATGATATATCTGATGGACGATGTGAAATGTGTGTACAAGTCAATAAAAAAAGAGAGTGATCTATGTGTGGACCCTAAAATTTTAGGTAAAATACGAAATGTTCCACTTATATGCATAAATTACAAAGAAGGTTACTCAACTCATTTTTTTCCAAAATTGCCCCTCAAGCAACTGTTTTGATATATTTTTAGTTGTTTTAGTTTTTTTCGTCAGTAGGGTAGTGCCTTAAAGCTTGGGGCACTGCTTTAATAACGAAAAAGCTAAAAAAAATTAAATCAAAATTTGTGTTGACTGAGGGGAAGTTTTGAAAAAATAAAAAAATGGTCGTATATCATCACATTCAAGGAGTTTAATTTCAAGTTATAATTAAATTAGGACCTTTTGGTCAAAATTTAATTATATGGACTAATATTTCCAAAATATTGCTATCGCAATTATCATCCAGTTTCTTCCACTCATTGTTTGTCATACCTTCAGGCTTATGTTCTACCCCTTCAATGACTGTGTACGAGTCCTTACAGTAGAACAAATTGTTCATATTTGACTTTCAGATGATCTAATTATTCTCGTTGAGCGATATCATCCTGCTTCCGGTACTAGAATCCATCTTAAATCAAGCACATTATCTATCAGCCCTCTATTACAGTTAGTTATCGCATGTATGTTACGATTAACTATCACATGTGCTTTACGGCTAGCTATCGCCCGTACGTTGTGGTTAGCTATCACCTGTACATTGCGGTTAGCTATCGACCATACATTACGGTTGGCTATCACCCGTGCATTGCGGTTAGCTATCGTTCGTGCGTTACGGTTAGCTATCGGCCGTGCGTTACAGTTAGCTATCAGTCGTGTGTTACAATTAATTATCGGCTGTGTGTTACAGTTAGCTATCGCCTGTGTTTTGTGCTTATAGCCTGTGCATTAAGCTTATACTTCGTGAATTAGGCTAATACTCCTTACGTTAGCTTATGCTCCGTGCGTTAGGGTATCCACCATCAGTTAAGCCTTCGCAAAATTTTTCACAAATTTTTAGCAAAGCTTCTACATAAGAGTTTGAGCCCCAAAAAAATCTCATAAGCCCAATTTATCGAAAGTCAAGTTAGGGCAAAGCCCAGGAGTAGTGATTATGATTAAAGGAGCGGGATTTGTTTTCTTTCTTACTCGTCCTATGACCGCTAGGTTCGTTATACCGAAAGACGGTTATAGGGAGGACCAATGGCGATGGAAATGTGCTCTGATACCACTTGTTGGGCTCACCCAGTCGAGCCCTCTCGCAATGCGGATATGCGCTGCGGAACCAGGATATATGAGATACAAAAATATGCCAAAGTCGATATGTGTATGTATGAGTGGAAAAATGTGTAATAAAACAAATAAAAAAATAAATCTTACTGTCATTGAATTTATATGGTTCACCTTTTCAATCTATGTCCATGGGAGAAAGAGATCAATTCCACTATTAACTCAACAGTTGCAATGGTCTTCTAAGAAACAACTTTTCTTAGGCTCTCTACTTTCTTCTAGAGATTCTCTCTTGGGTTTTCTTCTTTAAGGTTCTTCTCTCTCGGATGCTTTTTTTCTTTTACAGAGGTTTTCTCTTCTTCTTCTCTCTAGGAGAATGATAACTTTCTCTCTTCTTTTTCTCTGCAAAAGAACGCTCCCTGTATTTTTTTTAATACACTAAGTCAACTACCACCAATGTCCCACATTATTCCCATACTAAAACTATACGTGAGTTTATGACTTGGTCATCAGGTCACCCTTTTCTACTTTTTCAAATTGCCCCTTTAACTAGGACAAATTCCATTGGTGCCCTCCCACCATGTGAGAGGACCCCCAACTGGATGCTGACCACCTTGCGAACGTTATTATGCATTGTATAACAAAGTGGGCGAAGGCGACAGTTTTAAAAACTCCGGGGTGAAGATTTCCTCAATAACTTTGGCAGGATGAAGATATTTAACATCACAAAGTCCGCACTTTGGAAGCCTCCTCCGACGGGTTGGTTTAAACTTAATTTTTATGGGTTTGCTAAAAGTAATTGGTTGAGAGCTGGATATGGAGGTGTTCTGCGATATGAAAGAGGCAACATTATTTGGACGTTACAAAGGAAGCTTCCCATGTGCCAGGTGATTGAACCGAAATTCTTGGGCCTCAAGCGCTAAATGTTGATAGCGGGGTCCTGATTATAGATGGTGACTCCTCCCATGTGATCAAATAGTGCCTGGATCCACCTCTATCCCCTGTAAATGGGTAGGTGATTTGGTAAAAATTATGGCCCATCTTAGGGGAAAACAGGTGCTTTTCTCTCTAGTCAATAAAGAGGAATTTTATGGCCGATAGATTTGCCAAAAATGCTACTTCTTTGTAGCCCATCCTGGTTTTACTCCCTTTCTTGTTCTTTCTCTTCTTGCTTTTTCATTTTTTCAATGAAATCTCAATAAACAGTTCAAAAAAAAATTGTTCAGAAAAAAAAGAAAAGAAAAAGCTTTGAAATTTCATTTAAACTATTTCCTAACTGAAAACACAAGAGTGGCGTTTATGTTGTTGATTATATTCACCTCGTGCACCCAAAGACATCGCACTTTGGCAGAAATGTCTAGGGGTGCAAACTACTCACGCTTTGAAGAACATTTGTTGAAAACACTGTTGACACGCTTCCTAAAGAAAGTGCATGAATACTTTATTTGTTTTCTATTCATCCCTGACTTCCAAAGATTTCAGATAAAACTGTTTTAAGTGGGATTTGCACCAGAATGTAGGATTTGAACTGAGAGCAACCAAAGTATCCCCTCACGTTTGGGTTGGTTGGTCGTGGTTTCCTTTGTTGATGCCGTTACAACACAAGGCCCAGGTTTATATAAGCAAAGCTCCATCTCAAGACTCCATTGAAATCGGCTTCAATGCCTAAAAATCTATTTTTCCCCTATTATGAAATGAGATTGTCTACAAAAAAAACCATTTACCTTTTGTATAAGAAAGTTACAATCAATCTTATATTTTAAATTTCAAAATAAATGGTTGTAAGAAGATCAGTAAAAAGAATAGACCCAGCTCCAGAAACAAAAAAATAAAAATCTCTTTGTAAATAATCTCTTGTGAAATTTATAGTTTCGATAGTGAACCAGATTTGGTGAATTGGTAAAAACTTAAAAATAAAGCATAAAAAATAATGTGTTAAAAGACATTTTTTTGGGGACATGATATACATCATACTTTTAATTCCATGATTGTCAAAATTATTATAATCAATCCGAGGGTTTCCCAACAAGGAACCACATTTTCCAATAGTCAATAGTACAACCATTGTATAGCCTAACCTCGAATAAACTTTTTCCCCGTTATCCTCACAATTCCATAATCTTGTCATTAAAAATGCTGTTATCTAAGACGAATTTTGCAAATCTGAAGTTAAAATGTTTACTTGCTTATAATGCATGCAACTCAAAAGTTCGTACTGTGTCGTGTTAATCAAATCCCTTTTCCATATTCCAGAAGCATGCTACAACACAGTCCCTTGAGCAATGAACAAAGACTGGCGAAAGAACCTGTGGGGTTCAGCATCTTTGTCTAATGGCCATTTGAGCTAAAGCTTTCCCATTATGTCTCCTCATATCACCCATGTCCTACATTCCTGTAGGAGAACACAGACACACATGTACGCACACGACACAGACTTGAGATAGATGACGAGAGAGAGCACAACAAACAGTTCGAATTATCCAAATTACACCAAGAATGAACGACTGCTTTGCCATTCGTGTTCCCACTCCCCCACTTTGCGCTAGGGCGCACAACCTCTTTAGCGAACCCAATCACACCATGAACCTATCAAACATCAAACACTACTATACACAAAGACCCCCACTCGACCACACGCGACCCTGGACCCTCACTCACAAGCCAGCTTCGTATCGAAACTACTCAGGCAAATGGCAAATGCCTGAAAAGCCGACAAAGGATAACGATAGTCCATAGTGAAGAGGTCCTTTCCAATTTTCCCAAATTGCAATAATATCTTATCATGATCAGATGAGCCAGTAGTTGCTGGTGGTGGGGCCGGTTCAGAGGTGGTCGGTGGCTCCACAGCTGCAATCAACTGAAAGTTTTTCACAGAGGCCACTGTGACTCTCCCCCGAAAGTTGAGGCACCAGCACTGCAATTGCTCATGCCACCTAGGCGCCTTATTCTTAAGAACAAGTGGGCCCCTCTCCCACTCTTTCCCTTCTAAAGGACCCGACATGGCCCTAAATGATGTTATGTCTGAGAACCTCGCACTCCCTGAGAAGGAGTCAGTCCTCTTCGAAAGGAGGCGTAAGTCTCGGTCCATTGAGTGAGAGAAAGAGAGTGTCGAGAAAGACTCGTCCAGTGAGGACAAAGATGCAATTTCGGGTGCAGGGGCAGGGCCCACAGAAGGGTCGAGGGCAGATGCAGGGATGGAGTGCATGGTGCAACGCATGCGGCGGGGGCCACGGGAGCCAAGCATGTTAAGCTCATATGCAACATGGGCCACCCCATAGCTGCCTGATGTTGGCATTTTCGGGGAAACCCGTCGGGAGTAGAAACGGCGGCTCGAGCGCGAGCTTGATGATGACATGATGGCACCAGCATAGGGGGGTTGGCTATCATAGACGGCAAACTTGGTCCCGAGGAAGTTCGACCTGCCAAAACCAGGGAGGGCAGAGAGGGGGAGGAGGTGACCAAGGGCTCAGGCGTTGCACTAGCATCAGACTAAAAAAAATTCCGCATATGAATACATGATACATATGCTATGGCATAAGGTCTTTATCTAAGGAATTTATTGTATGTTGTTAGTTTGTTACTTATTAACATACACAGATTCTGAAATGGCAAGCAGTGGAGATGCCCCATGATTCCGTTTAATCACAACACTTTCGTCTAACGAAACCTGGTTCATCTCTACTGTCTTTAGATAAGGATTGATCATGGACACCCACATGCATATATCCTTGACCCAACACAGAAATGAGGTGCAGTCGATGTTTTTCTGTTGGCATGAGGTGCAGTTGGTGGATAATCATTCCTGGCAATTTCTCTGCGAGGTAAAATCGCTTTGAAGATTTTCAAGATTTTGATTTTCTTGGAGAAACCACACAAAAAATTCTACACAAAATAGGATTTCAACAAAGTTCCGAAATTGAAAAGAACAAATAATGTTTCCCCTTTAAAAAAAAGGTAATATTTATCATAGCTTTGTATTTTTTAAGCAAACCCATATTTGACTTCAATTATAAACTTATCATTTCAGCAGGGGAAATTTTTGGAATGCTGAAGGAAAATGTGCTGTCTCGAAAAATCACAATACAGTTCACAATTTGAAAACAATAGAGTTGATTCTTAAATACTGAAGGCAAAATAGAAAGTTTGCATAGTGCAAAAGAATTCCGAAGGACATTTGCTTGAATGAGGTGACATAAGTTTGCATAATGCAAAAGAATATGGGAAATTAACTACAACACCCATGAGAAATGAGTTATTTAACAATCTATCCATATTGTTCGATTTTATTTCAAAATGCCCATGCACAGACACATGATCATGAGTTGGAATAGTTGCAAAAGTTTACAATGTACAATGTTAAACACTTCAATTCCTACGAGTACTTTGATAAATTGCCCAAAAAAACACCTACAGAAGGATATTTGCTTGAATTGGTTGAGTAAAACGTTAGGATGGTAACAAACCTTAATTTCCCAATGTAGCTGCCAGTAGTTCGTGACATATCTTCTGGATCCAAAGATATAACATATTCTGCATGTGTAGGGCGCCTTATCTTTCTGGCAGCAAGGAGAAATTTTCCATTTTCTGAAAAAGAAAAAAGGCAACCAGATTAGCTAGAAGAAAAAGCATATTGAAAATCATATACCAGTGAATGCTACATGATACATAACAGGGGCACCCCCTTACACTGCACCCAGGTGAATGTCTGTGGTCTGGACCCATGGTTAATCCCCACCATATGTAGTCAGGAATGGATGGTGGATTCCCCATAGCATACCACAAATTATACACTACTGCTGCATAGCATGATTTCCATTAATACATGATTATAAGACAAAATGCAAGCACACCCAAGAGCAAGATCAAAAGGTGAAAAAATCTCGTGAGAGACTTGTTCCTAGTGGAAAAAGTAAGTGTAACAGAATTACCATAAGAAGTTAGCCAAGATATGAACTGCCCGAGGCAGTCACTTCCTAAGGCAGTAGGGATATGTTGTGAGGCCATTGGCATATTGGTCTTTTCCCCCATTAACCGCAGGGAAGACCTTTGGCAGGGTATTGCAACCCCCATGTCTACCTAACTTCTTTTTTTGATGAATACCAAATGGAACCAACTTGGCCAAACTTAAATTTCAGCCATTATGAACTGATTCCAAGAATCTATTCTTTGCACTGAAAATAGATGAAGTGGAGGCCTTCTACTAAAAAATTAAATCCATGATTGGGTTGAATTCCATTAGTTTTGTTTTCCATTTTGAACCTCTCCTATGGTTTGATGAGTTTGGCAGTGTTTTTGGTCTTCTTGCTAGTTACCTATCTCAAAAATTTCGGGCACATTCCAGAAGAGATTAGCAACTAGGTCACTAACCAAAAATTTAGCCCAATTTCCTTTCCCGTGTTCTGTGCTGAGTTTCATATTTTGCAATCATCTAAATTTGTATCCCAAGTGCTCCAAAACATTTTTCGGTGGTCACAACATACTTTATTTTCTGTGAAAGCATTTGAGTTTCTGTGTATTAATGCTTATAAAACGTATTGAGAGTGTGGATCCCTTCATCCCAAACTTAGAATAGGTTGAAAACATCAAAATTTTTGGAAAAATTGGTAGCCAAGATCTTTTCAAAAGTTCCACACAAGGAAAAAAAAAAGAAGGCAACCATTAAACTAGAAAACCAAAAAAGATGAGGCTATGAAGACACGGTGTCCAATCCTACTAGGAAGAAATAACTACGGAAGTGAAAAGATGAGGAACTAGGGTGCTGCAATGGCCTCCATTGACAGTCTCCCTGGTTTCGGGAGTGACATCGATGCGCATCGCATGCTCTCGCACCAGTTCTCACCAGATAGTTTATTGCTTAATAAAACAACCTAACATATTGACCCTCATTCACAAAATCCTTCAACTTCAACCATTTGACATAACCATCCATTGCAATATCTCAAGTTCAGCATTAACTATGAAACAAAGAACTGAAAGAAAATATTTGAAAGCAATTTGAGTACATATCCTTAGAATAAATGATCTCTAAAATGACAAGAAGGCCACAAAACAATCAAAGATCTAGTTTCAACCCAAATGCACTCAATTTGAGCCCAAGCTTCAGATTTATAAAACCACTTCAAGCTATGGATTTAACATGAATATGGAAAAACTTTGGGATTTTTCAAGGTCATGGGCAGTTCTATACTACTTAATTAATGTCCTCATGGCTTTGGAACCTTCTCACCACCTCCTGCATGACAACCAAGCGTTCTGTGTATTAAAATGTACCCATGCCAGGGGGCCAAGTTGGCCCCTCAAGGTGGGGTGGGTGTCTAGGCTTCAGACCAAAGGAAGAGCCTTGCACCTCAGCTGAGGCAGCCACCTTGGGATGCCCATGCAAATGCCCTCAGGCCATCAGCATTTTGGTCTTTCCCCACTCCCTAACATATTTTCTATTGGAAAATATACATTCCAATTCCCTAACTTTTCTTTGACTAAAAACAAACATAAAATATCCATATTCTTGAAAATTTTGAACAACACAAAAAGCTTAAAAACTTCAACGAATCATATCTAATCAAAATCTTTTGGATAAGATTCTTTGTAGAATATCAAGAGAGGTTACAAAGGGAGTGTTTGGGTGATTTAAAGCTTGATATTATGCAATATGACATCAGAAATGCTATTATCTTTTACTCTTAGTGGTTTTGCTTCATGTGTGAAGAACGAGTCAAACATTTACCCCGGGCTTGGCTTACGTTATTGAGTAATTTAATGGTCTTGAACAAGGAGCTATCAGCTATATGGCGTAGGGAAGGGCATTGCCTTTGACTCTGTGGTTGTGTTACATGTGTGATATGTGATTCAACATTAACTTAGTTACTTTGAAACTGTAAATTTTCCTATCATTCAAATTCTCAATAGTCAATCCATTATGCATATAACTAATAATATAACAAGAAACACCAGCCTGGCCTGATGGCCACCTTAGTGTTGCCTAGCACTTTCTTAAACCTTGTACAAGTGTCTTCACCATCCCATTCTCTCTATACAAGCTTTTTTGTTTTTCAGCTATACCTCATTGGCATGGCTATATACTTCAGGTACCATATATTAGGATCCATATTTCAAGAGCTAGTGTCTCAGGAGTACCACGTGCCCTAAGTAGCAACATTCATCATTTCATATTTCTTAATGCAATTTACTAATTATTCGGGCATCTTGAGTAGTTAGTATATATTAAGCATATATCAAATATTAGGCAGTACCAAGTGATCCTACTCTTGTGTTCATTTGGTAATCAATTTCAATTTGCTTGAGATCTTAGTTATGTAGATTGTTTTCAATTCAATCTCTCCATTTAACCTAGTTGAATTGTATTTGCAAGATAGAGCAAAAACTAATTCTTCACCTAAGGAAGTGTGATTTTCTATGAAATAGTAAAGATCCAAAAGGCATCACTTTTTTTTAATTGCGGGGTCAACATCCTATACATAAATTGATTCCTTCTACAAACTCAACCACTAAAGTAATGAACCCCTCATAAAAAAATAATGGCAACCATAAAATTGATCAAAGTCAACCCCAACCAAATTTATCCAAAGATATAAACAATATTTCCTAATCAAAAGATTAGAACTACTCTCTAAATTAAAAGTAGGAATATGCCAGAACTACCATCACCACAGATCAAGCCCATCACTGCTATACAATAAGTCAAATTCATACAGGCCAAAATGTTGCTCACCAGTGTTAAGACCCAAGTACAAGTGGTAAGTTGAGGATGCTTTATTCCGCTTTATATAACACTGTATAGGACTTGTTCGTGGCCCAGGCTGCCAAATATTGGGAAAACAAAAACAAAAATGGAAATTGTTAAATCATCTCTTTTCAATATATAGCTCTGATGTCCAAAAAAAATGTAAGCATATCCACGATGAATAACATCATAAGAATGAAAAAATAAAAGGTATATAATAAAAACAAAGAAGACTAAAAAGGAAAATTGGAAAGATAAAGGAAATGCGATTTTTATTTTTTGTTGCGAAAGGAGAAATGACAACAAGGACCATGGAGTAGAAAGGGAGACAATTTCATTTCATCTCTACAACAGTACACTTAAAACAGAAGGGAAAACATATTTCGCCTTGCGAAACACAAAAGAAGAAAATCGATACAATCCAACAAAAGCATCTGAGAGTTTGAAAGAATGGCAAATGCTAAAATGAAAAAAATGTAAGATAATCGAACCCATCAACCAGAACCAACCCCAAAAAATTCCCATCTCTTTGTAATAAGTGTTTCATTTGTAATACGTAAAACATGTGAATGAAAATAACAATCCAAACAAAATGAGATCCATGTCTCATCCATAACAAGTAACAGTGCAGACAATCCAAACTATAAAACATGTTTCCCATATCAGTCCCAGCCACAAAGAGCAATAAATATTCAAGTTTATCATCCAGCCAAAACTGAAACTAAGAATCCAAAACAAATCCTATCTTCCTGTCAATCTGAAAGAAGAAGAAAACAAAACAAAGACCGGCAACGAGAAAAAATGGGTCACAAAACTCAAGCGCCTCTTCACACAATAACATGAACAAAAAATCCGATTTTTTGGGGCCATTTCTGCACCAGTAACAAATAAAAAAAATGGAAACAGGCCAGAGAGAGACCCCAACAAGAATCTATCGGGAACTCAGCCAGAGAAGAAAGAACCCCTCATCATAACAAGAACACAAACTGAGAGAGGAGGGGCAACAGGACAGTGAGATTGAGAAAACCCCCTGAAACAACAACCATAACCAAATTAAGAGAGGGAAGGAGCGGTTGCTAGCGACCAGCTAGAGATATAAAACCCCTGAAATCACCACAACAACAAGAACCAGCCAAGAGAGAGGGCCCAAAACTGCTGAGAGTCCAAAAAGAGAGAGAGGGTATCCCAGTTAGAGAGAGAAAGCCCCTTAAATCACCACTATAACAACATCAACAAATATAAAAAAAGATGGACACCCCAAAGGTATTATGACGAGATCCAGAGAGGGATAAAACCCTCAAATGCTTCAAATCACTACTACAACAGTGAATCAAGAGATAGAAAGAGGGGATCCCAGTTAGAGAGGGAAAACCCCTTTAAATCACCACAATAACAACATTAACAAAGTCAGAGAGCCACAAGAAAAGGTGCTATAAGGAGATCCAGCTAGAGAGAAAATAGTCAACGATTCAAATCACTACAACAACAAATCGAGGGTAGCGCAGAAGATGCGAGAACCTTGACACCAATGCGAAATCCAGAAGGAGAGAGACAGAAAGTCAGGAGAGAGAATGACGACTTAGAGATAGAAAACCCCAAAAAAACAGTAAAGCTCACCTGCTTGAGCGACCCCGGAAAAGTGAGCTTGGCGCACATCTCAGGCGTGCCAACGATCTCCCTGCACATGAGCCGCCACGCTCTACAAACCGCGGCACAAGCCACCACGCTGCGCCTAGCTGGCCACGCCCCCTCGCTCGCCTCCACCCTCTTCATCACGTCCCTCAACAGCTCAGGTGGCAAGCTCGCCCAGCAACCCGGCTCATGCTGGGCCTGCTCTACTTCCTCCGCGTTGGGCTCCGCTCGCTGCCGCGAGCCGAGCCTAGCTTCAAAGCCGCGCCTGGACAGGCTCCCAAGCCCATCACGCACATCCTTCACTATGCTGCGAAACGACATGACCACCGATTCTAGGGTTTATTTTCTCTCTCTAACTCCTCCCTCTTTCACCTCTCTCTCTCTCTGCACTTGGGTATTGGGGGGTTTGGTTCTGGGAACTTGTGGTGGACTTTTTTCTGGATGCAGTTTCTCTCTCTTGAGCTGGGTGTACTCTATTTCTAGGGTTTTCACTCTCTAGACTTAGTCTGAGTTTTCTCTCTCTAGAGTTACTGTATGCGCTGTGTAAAAGAGGATAAAGAGAGTGGGAAATAATGTAACCGTTGAGACAGAGAGAGGAGAGTTTCTCTTTTTTCTGTCTCTCGGAATCTTACGTGCCTGATTTTCTTTTTTTTTCACAAACTTTGGGGCTCCGTGGGAGCATACTATTTATTACTCTCTCAGGAGACTCCGAGCTTTTCTAGCTTGAGGTTGTAACCTGTTTGGCTTATGACTTAACATCAAAAACAAACTTTCAAATTCATCTAAATCAAATATCAAAACACCATGTATGAGAGTATGTTTATCTTTATTGATATACATCATTATGAATACATAATGAGATATGTATATGAATGGTATATATATAATCGGTGTCTCTTGTTATTGGCAATATATTTATACGAGTCTTGTATATTCGTGATCAATCACTGAAGAGATAGTTCTATGGGGGCCTAAGGCCCAAATATACAAAAATGCAGTCTCTTAACTGGATAAAAAAGCAAGGTTCTCTGCCATCTTTGTGGTAAAGTTTAGGTTTCTTTATTATTTCTTCAGCCGCTACGCTTTGCAAGCAAAGCCTTTTTTATTTCTTCCTGGTATTCAAAGTTGGTATTCAAAGTTGGAGTGTGTTTTCACATGCAAATCCCCTTCAAAATTTTAAAGCAAATCTCCTTGCTAGAAATTCAAAGCTGCTGGTGCCTAATTTTTTAGAGCAAATCTCCATCGAAATTTTTTTGCAAGCAAATCCTGCAAAAGCTTCTCCATAAATCTTTGCATCAAAAGACCGCAATTGCACCTATTGTTTTGCAAACAAATCTTACAAAAGCTTCTTCAAGGTGCTTTGCATCATAAGACCTTTTTCGTTAAAAGGTGTTGACGCCAAGCAAAGATCTTCGCCTTACATCAGTAGGCCTGCTTTAAAATTTGGTATCAGTCCAAGATCAGCAGTTGACCATACAATTTCTTCTACAAATCGCCTTACATCAATAGGCCCTTGCTTTAAAAATTGGTATCAGTCCAAGATCCACAGTTGACCATACAGTTTCTTCTACGAAGTGGTTTGTTGGTATCAAGCCATCACTACTGCCCATTTCAAGGTGCTTTGCATCATTGCATGCAAATCTCCATCAATTATTTTTTGCAAGCAAATCTCTATGCAGTTCAAAACTATCCGTGTGTGTCTCAGCAAAAGCTTTCTATTGACAATTTCTGTCAACAAAATGTTGTACCAATTTACGTGCATCTTCGTCAAAGCAGTTGTGTGAATTCTTAGGTGGCTGCATAGGTGTTTGTTGCCCACAATCTTTATCCACCTCTAAAAATGACCTATGAAAATGGCCAATCTGCACTATCCGCCGAGTGGTTCTTCAACTATCTGCCGAGTCGTTCTTCAACTATCCGTCTAGTCGTTCTTTAACTATCCGCCGAGTTGTTCTTCGACTATCTACCGAGTCCTTTTTCAACTATCCGCCGAGTCCTTCTTCGACTATCCGCCGAGTCTTTCTTCGACTATCTGCAAGATTCTCTGCAAAACAACCTTTGTTTTTGTTCTGGATTGCGAGTTGCTGGATCTATCTAGGATCCTTACCGAGTTCTGTTGGCTCTTCCAAATGTCATTATGTGCTTGTTTTTCAAGCAAGAGACTACTGCTTCTATTGGTCACGTGAAGACTTAACGATCCAACTCGTTTGTTTATGCAGGTTATTGTTCAAACTCTAGCTGCTTTGTCTAAAAGCATCTTGAGTTTGAGGGGGAGTATTAGTGTATGTTTATCTTTATTGATATACATCATTATGAATACATAATGAGATATGTATATATATGGTATATATCTCTTAGGTGTCTCTTGATTATGATAAGATTAATTAGTAGTTATCCTATATCTCTTAGGTGTCTCTTGATTATAATAAGATTAATTAGTAGTTATCCATAACCATTGATATTTATCTTTAATTTTTATTACATGTATATTTATACGGGTCTTGTATATTCTTGATCAATCAATAAAGAGAGAGTTCCATGGGGGCCTAAGGCCCAATTATGCAAATTACAGAAATGCAGTTTTTAACACCATGTGTGAAAAATAAATTGTTTAGAGACTCTTTGGATCAAAGACATGAAAAGACTCCTTGGATATTTTCATTCTTTTATGTTTTTAAAGGGAAAAGTTTAGCTGAGCTCTTAACTTTATATTATAGAAGTGAAGTTCACCTAAAAAATCATCGAAAAATGTTGTTCTCTTCAATTGATTATATCAACCTCGAGATATATAAAAAAAAAGATCTCAAGTCTTAAAATTTTTGCATCTTGTAATACATTATCTATACCATTTATTTTTAGCGAAAGTATACAATGAAATCATTTACTTTTGATACGAGGTGGTCACATTAATCTTGACCATTGGATGTAAAATTAGGCGGATGTAGACTAAGCTCAAACTTCAAAAAAAAATTTTCTCGAAATTTGTGACACATCCAACCTATCAAATTTCATATCAAATCATTGTAAGGAATTGTGACCACCTTATGGTGGCATCCCCTGTTCTTGGATTATGGAATACAGGTGAAAATTGGTAAGGTGAAAACTAGAAACCCCGTGATGCCGGTATTTTCATCATTGCAAAATTGGTAAGGTGAATGCTAGAAACCCTGTGGTGCTGGTAATTTCACCTGTTTGGCAATGGTGAAAATTGGTAAGGTGAAAACTAGAAACCTTGTTTGATAAAGTGTGGTGCTAGTAATTTCACCTGTTTGGTAATGGAAAAGCTGGAAACTGTCTGTAATATTGTTCAATATGTATTTGATTTAATATTGTTCAATATGTATTTGATTTGGAAAAGTTGGAAACTGTCAGTAATATTATTCAATATGTATTTGATTTAATATCGTTCAATATGTATTTGATTTATATGACGAGCAAAATACTGCTTTTGAATAACATTATGTAACTAAATAAGGTTCCTTCTATTTATCCAATATAATACCAAAAATGTAATAGATTCAAAGAATACTTTATTATGCTTGGAGATTTCATAAAATGTTACGGAACCACATGTAGTTTAGAAGGGACCAAATTGATATAAAGATTAGGATGTATGATGTTTGTTGGGTTGCCTTGGATTGGTTGTGGAGAAGAATAGTGGGTGTTTTTCTCATATAAGTTTTGCCCCAGGCTCTTCAGATGAAATAAATGAGCCCTCATTCATAATGGGTGATCTAGGCTCTGCCTCATAATAGAACCTTTATTTGGTTTATAACCTCAGGCAAGATGATTACAATAGACCATCTCGAAATGCATATTTTAGGGATACTTTTATTTTATGATTCTTTAGTGGTCATAGCTACAAGTACTTGATTAGTTTTAGGGCAGAGGTCACAAAATGTTGATGTTAAATATTTAGAACAATCCTTTCGGATCTAAACCAAAGGTGTCAAGCACCAAATGAGCAGAGGATCCACTCAAGCTTAATTTTGACATTAATTAGGAATCTAATCCATGTTTAGGAATTCCCATGAGATGCAAAAAACACAAGTTTTCATATGCATGATAAAATTTTTTGCTTTGAAGCTTCATAATATGCAAATTACTACTCTATGGTGTTGTGCGCGAAAGCTCTAAACTCGACGGGTTGATTTTTAGTAAATAAAGTACGAGAAAAAGAATCGATAAAAAACAAGCAACAAGTAAAAAAAATAAAGCAGGAAATAAATAACAGAAAAAGAACACTAGGATTTACATGGTTCGTCACAATTGTGACTACATCCACGAGCGAAGACGATCGATATTTTTACTTGAGAGAACCGTCACAATTGTGACTACGTCCATAGGCGAAGATGATCGACATTTTTACTTGAGAGAATCAGAGACTCAATCTCCCACAAAGCCTTCTTCTCTATCATTTTCTCTCTCTGCAAAACCTCCAAAAGTTTCCTTCTATTTTTCTGGATATTTTTGGCTCTCTCTAAAGGGTGCGGTTGGCATACGGATGCATCCCTAGCCGTAGCTGTAGAGGTATGGTGCACATTCAAATTTTATCATGTTATATAATTTTAATGTAAAATGTTCTTAGAATTATCTAAAAATCTATTTTTATATCTAATTATAAAATTTTAAGCTTAAAAAATGGTTAAAATCAAGTAGATCTATAAACATATGAAAATCTTGAAAATGGATGGTGTAGATAATATGCTGA